ATCGAACCATATTTAAATATGGGGTAGTGTTTCTCTAAATACTTTCATATTGGATAGTCTCTAATTGTATAGAAACAGTTTTGGAGCAAAAAATATTATACTTGAAACTTGAACTTTTACATGGAATTTAATCGTTTAATGTCAATTAACAAAGTGTTTTAAAATAATATACATGTATTGTATGTGAACTTTTGTAGTGAGCTGTTGATACTGTCACCTGATGAATATGATTACTACGTCGAGGGTTATAGTTTCAGTCTTTGCTGAAAACATATTCCCGCCCTTAAGTAAGTCATTTTTGACAAAAAACACTGATTCGTAAATCAAGACACAAGGTAATGAAATTCAAAGAACAACACATACGTCAGGAGAGGGGTTTGCGAATGCTCAAGATAGAAGGTTGTTGTTATTGTCGTTAGCCAACGCCCACCCTTGACATGTTAGCCATTTGGTGACGCGCCGACCAGTATAGACGCACAGATTTTCCCCTCAGCTTGTAGGGACCCGCAAGCCCAGAATGGTCAAGCCGCAACAGCGTAGGCGGCGAATCACTGTTGCTCATTTGACGTTACCCAGTGGACACGTTTGTTAGACCACGGACGCGAGCAACTCTGTCCCCGCTGTGTTGTTATTATTATTATTATTATTATTATTATTATTATTATTATTATTATTATTATTACATTATGAGGTGCTAGGATATTGGTGAAAGATGATCGTGCACTTTTTGAACCATCCCAGCATTCGTCTTATGGCCGAGGGAAACCACGAAAACCCGTTCAGATAGCGCCCGGATCGAACTGCTGATTGCGAAGTCACGCGACGCTACCACGGAAGCTACTTCGTTCTGACCAGACAGAACAGGCAAAAGGGCGTTCTCGCAACGCAGTTAGTTTCCTGACGCTGCGCGCTCGCTTTTCTTCGCAGCGAAAAGAAAAACTGCGTAGCAGCCGCGGCTAACGGCCCACCGCGACGCCACACCGCCTCCCACAGGCACCCTTCCCCCTCCACCCTTCCCCCGCTCCGCCTCTCCCCCCGCCCTCGGCCCACGCCAGCGGCAGCTCTTTATTGGATCCCGGATTTAAGAGCTCACGGCGGGCAGCGCAGCCCGCTTGATAATTTCCCATTGAACGCCGTGTAAATAAAACCAATTCGAACCCTCGCAAATCCACTTCTTTAATCTTCCCCCTTCGCGTTTCCTTAAGGGCGAATTTGAACTTTTTTTTCGGACAGATCACTTTGTCGGAATAAAACACAGACGCGTGGGAGTGAAGTAACGTTTGAAATATAACTTGGTTGCTGGCTTAGCTCCACAAGCACAGGATTGTGAATTAATTAAAAAAAATATTTTATCATAAATTGTGGGGAAATATTTATTTTGAATAAGCTATATATCACCATATGTCACACGCTCGAGAAAATTAGAATAATTTTGTAAAGTCGCGATGAAGATTGAGAAATATTTCTTGACTCTTTTCTCAAATCACTGGTTTTCATTTATCTTATTGTAAACTATGAATAAGATATTCGTTGACTCGAAAGGAGCATTCTCCAAAAAATAAGAATTATTGTTTCTCAGTCATTCAAGTATAATTGTTTTAGAGTTTCTTACTTAAATATTTATCTCGAAAATTAAAAATTTAATTTACTTTTATAGCATAAAGTGTTTTTACTCAACGAATGTGTAAAACCTAGCGTTTGCCTAGTGTCTGTTTATGGAGTGAAACAGAACGCAATAATTTATTCTAGTCAAAGAAAAAACACATTGCAAACTCTTCGCTTATTTTTCAACATTTTGGCCAAGTATTCTTTGTAAAATAATGAGATATTTACATCTAATAAAATTATTTCAAGAGAGTTTCTTTTATTTTAAAATAAACTAGGGATGTAAAATTACAAATACTATATTAATAATTTCATTCTATGTGGTTTGATTTTTTCACAAAATATTATTTGTATTACTTTCAAAAGATAAACTAATAATTCTATAACAGTTGTAAGAGTTACAAAAGTTAAATACTAGTTGATCCTGAGGGAAAACTATGCACATTTGAAATCAATTGCTTAAGATATTGTAGCCAGTGACTCGGTACTTTGCATGGATGGCTTTTTGACCAAACAAATACTTCTGCAGGTATTTTCAGGCCGTAAAAACCTTGGACTGTGTTGGGATGTGTACCTGAGCGCTGAGATGGCTGATGATGTACGTATGATGATGATGATGATGATGACGATGACGAAACATGATGAATAAGCTCACATTACAGCAGTCGGTAGGAACATCAAAGTTCAACTTTTGTAATGTTTGATATTAAAGTTTTTTTCATAAAATTTAGACATTTTCTATATTTGACCAAAGAGTTAAAAGAAAACAATTGAGCGTTTTTTAAAAAAATATTGCTTAGGTATGTTCTAAAAATTGCTACGATTTCACTAAAAATTCCGTGAAAAATACTCCTATTGTCAAAATATTGTAATATTATTTATTGATTTGCATCTTAAAATATTTGGTTGTAGGAAGAGGGCAAAAAAGCTTATAACCTTTTGCAATTTTTGAAAATTCAGAATAGGATTTACTCATAATAGGATATGCGTCATCTTATAATAATAATTTGAGATATTTGAGCAAAAAATAATAAATTAAAAATTAGAGCCAGTTTTTGAGACCATTTTTAAAATGTACTATAGAGATCGTATTACGTATCCCATAAAATTATAAGATGCGTTTCAAATTCATAGGAACGCAACATCAGTTATAACCCATCTACTTTGTACAACAATAACCTGGTTCGTCCTACTATAGACTTAAAGGGAAATTTCGGCGGCTCATCTATCGAGACCACAACTATTCGTCATGAAATGCTACAGCAGTCTCACTCTACGATAGGTAGTGCCGGTAACTGTCAAAATACTCCGCACTTCGTATAATACACAGTTATTTCAAATTAGTTACAAGTAACAAGAAATATTATCGAATCCACTGACACTGACAAGTTTAAAGCATAGGCCGCCAGATGTCTCTTCAGCTACTCGTTTGGTGGTAACAGTGCGGTTCATTGTTACGAAGGAGCAGTGACAACGCATTTGCAATGGAGACATAGCGGCGCGGAACGTACTAAGTGTTGCTTGGGATACCACGAATCGCAATCACTAATAAACGCATTGCGCTACGAATCGCAATCACCAACACGCTTCAGAACGGAGCATTACAAAGCTACCCCGCACGCAAATACTATAAGAGCATGGTTTAAGTGATTCATGGAAACAGGCTGTGTGGCACACCCAGACAAAGGACATGGTCGCCCTGTGGTAACAGACTACGTTGGGGAAGAGGTGAGGGTGAAGTTCTCAAGGAGAGTCAGTTTGCAGCTCAATCTTTCCCATCCTTTGGAAAGTTTTATGACAGCAACTGCAGTGTAATGCATAGCAGTTGCAATGGATGCAGGATTTGGATGATAGTGACAAGCAGAAAAGGTATGCATTTCTGAAGATGAAGATGATGAAAGGAATAGGAAAGGAAACAAATTTTCTCGAATATATTGTAACACGTGATAAGGCCCCTTCCCACATTAGCGTTATCGTTAACCGCCGCAATGTGCGGATATGTAACAGGCAGAAATAAACGGATATCTTAGAAGATACGCGCGACTTACCAAACTGAATGTCGTTGTCCACCGAGTTTTGTCAAAACGTGTGGACTATTTTTTAATGAGCAAACTGGACAGACACTGTCTCCGCAGTGACTGTGACGGTGAATCACCGCGGTGGCAGATTCTAGCGTGACATAACTCAAATTCAGCCGTTGTCCGGAGGCTGCTATGATAATAGTGTTTTCCGTGGTTTCATCTGTCAATAGCAGACGAATGCCCAAGCAGTACCGTAACAAACGCCACGGACCGCGTTCGCCTTTTCCTTTCTCTTCCTTGTCCTGCTCTTTACCGTCACTTGCACTTAGTGAAAGACATGTCATTTTAGAATTTAAGAAAACCTGCGCACATTATTGCCCACACCATATGTGATAAACCGTTAGCCATAAATAAATAATCTAATAAAAGTTACCATGTTTCCATGATTCTTTTCCTGGTGCACACACAATTAGGGCTCTTTGGGTAGAATCCCACCAGCCTGTCCGGTACAGTCCCTGAACTTTTCCGAATATTATCACGCGTCCATTCGCGAGACAACTTTCAAAACCTCCGCGAGAAAACTCTAGGACCTTTTTGCTAAGCTTTCAATTTCGTCTCCGCATGTTTTTTTCCCCGCTGGTGGCCCTGGCGAGGACGTCATTTATTGGGCACGAGAAATACATGGGCCGGAATTTTTTACCTACACGGCAAATGAAGACGCGACACTTTAACTTCGGAATTACAACGCTGAAGAAGACCGCACTTTGCCCTCAACATAATATTCATTTAAGATTACTATTTCAGCCGTGAAATTAAAATAAATAGTGTTTAAGTATACATACAAAATGTCCCAATCAGGACGGTGTGTCTCAAAAAGTTTATCTTTTTCTATACGATTTTTCTTACCGCTTTTACCTACTGACCAATCATGAACTGTGATTCATCTTCCTTAGGAGGCGCTATATACATCGACCGCTATGACGATGTACAATAAACAGCGTATGTACTATAACAAAACCTGTCATTTTAACATACGCAGTCAGATATTCTCAACATTTGGCGCATTTTAGAACTCTTTTGGACATAAAGAACGTGACTACAAATCTGCAGTTCCGCACGTGGCGCGTTGTGACCATTCTAGGTCTTCCACTCCATACCCCCAGGAACCATACACGTCTACAAATGTCTGCTCCATTGGTGGTGCGTGGTGGTTACGCTCCATCGTGAACGCCCCCAGCAACAAACGTACCTACGAACGTGCGTTTCCACACGTGGCGCATTGTGACCACTCTAACTCATCAGTTACATTCCACTTCATACCCCCAGGAACCATACACGTCTACAAATGTCTACTCCATTCGTGGTGCGTGGTGATTACACTCCATCGCGAACGCTCCCAGCAGCAAACGTACCTACGAACGTGCGGTTCCACATGTGGCGCGTGATGGTGGCGCCGTCGCGTTCCGAGCCGCCTTCGCTGAGCGTCTCGTTGAGGGCGAGCGCGTACAGCACGACGGCGTCGTAGAAGGCCGTCACGAAGGTGGAGACGGAGCTGTTGGAGGTGTAGTTGAACTTGTCGCGCGCCAGGCTCTTCACCTCCTCGGAGAAGTTGCTGTACTGCGTGTTGTTGGGCGTGGAGGCTGTGACGGTGAGCAGCGCTTCGTAGGCCTTGCGGGCCCGCGCGTTGCGCTCGTCTGTGTCGCTCTCGTTCAGCCACGGCTTCAGGTTGTCCTGGTTCATGCTGCAACAACGCAAGGCGAGAGAAGCAGGTCAGAGCTTTTCGTGGTTCCCTTTCATACTAGATGTGTGAAGAGGGGGAGTTTAGTTTCAAATGGGAGTACACTCTTTAATGGGAGCACAAATGCTACTGCTTTGGGGCTTCGGTAGCTAGAGAGAAGCTTTTATCTAAAATGTTCTAACTGAAAATAAGTTAATTCTATTTTATATCTAATTACATAAATTTAAGTCCTCGTGGCTAGCTGTTGGTCAGCTTGCTAGCTAACCACTACGCGGCCCCGAATTGGATTTCCGGTGAGGCAAAATTATAGTGTCCGTTTTCCTTGCAATGTCTCAATATATGTATGATGATGAGAAAATTCACTTCTCAGGTTGAGAAGACCGGAATACGGCGTGGGGTTGTCTACGTGCTAACCACACCTAGCCCTTAACGCATGGCCGCGAGGAAGGGACGTCGCCGGTAGGCCTGAGCCCGTTCCCGGGCAGTCACGTTCAGTACATACATGCATATATACGTAAATTAAAACGATAGGATATTTGACCCATCTAACCGGAAGTATTTTTAAATACTACTGATTATGTAAGTGTTCTTGACAAATTCTAAGAGCAAGCGAAACTTATTAAGTTAACTAAGGTTAGCGATCATTGTAAACACATCAGCTAGTGGACAATGGACTTCGGGAAGGAGTACTACGGAATGGAGTACGTGGAAATAGGATAGGTTAGTTTATGTAATGTGAGTCATAAAACATTATCTTTCCTATGTTCATTTAACTGTACATTTGCACAACAGTGTTTTCTGAGAAACTATTAGAATCAGTGCTACAAAATTTGAGGAACAGCATGATGGAAATATTTTTAGTAATTACAAGTAGATTTATATGTTTGGAATGATTTTTGTAGTTTTGTTTTTACAGAAAATTTAAATAAAAATATTTGTTTGTATTTTTTATACATTAATACAGGATTCCGAAAGACAGAAATACACAGTTCTCATTTCGCCAGAGCATATTCATGCACAAGTAAGCTTCCGTGTCTCGATTCCATAAATTCTTGTACGTTACTGCCCTGAGGGTGCCTGCGACATGTCATGCGCAACGTCGGCCTATTACCCAACGACGCGGCGCCTCCAGAATAGCCAAGAATTTTTAGCTCATATTCATTTTTATTTTATTTATTTTTCTCAAAAACGTGAAATTATTTCGTCAAAAATTGAAATATAATGTGACAAATGGATTACAAACAATAGTTTTTGGTTCTTGTATTACTTAATCGAAACTACAGATTTCTAGAATTATTCTTTCACAATATTCAATCAAATAATGTAAACTCATAACCAAAGTGAGTTCCATTTGGAACTTAGGAAGAAGAAGAAGAAACAAAACAAGAAATAATGTCTGTTAGGATGCATAGTATACAATTTTTATCAGAATTATCTCTATTTTGGAGATGTTAAAATAAAAAAAATAAAACTTTGGCTTCCTGGATCCTCTTAAGTGATTCCCTTTACCAGTCCTTCTCCTTGTAATGTGATACGAGAAATTGAAAACAATGATTACGATGTTGAAATAGATGCAGTGAAACGAATGAGAAGTGGGAAACCCTGGAATGGGAAGTGCAATATTTGAAGTAATGCGCACGTGGTTGAGATCTAGTCCGCAGGTCGCTACAGTATGACTGACACAACTCGAGTGATATATTCAGTCCCGCAATCCAACGTAAATCGGCGCCGTATCTCGCTATCCAGCGGGGGAAGATTACAGCCGAATTCCACGATGAACACATGCACCACACTTTTGGTACAAGTGACCTTCGCAGTTGACGCACCCGGAATCACTAATTAATCAATCATTAAATCAGATTTATTGAGACAATACGCCACGCTCTCCAACGTTAGAAACGGGTAACGAAAAGCACGCCCGATTTGGAGACGCGAGCGCGCGCCGCCTATTGGGAAAGTGGTCACGTCGGTGAGGAACGCCGTGACTCGCGCTAATCGCTCTCTGAGTTCCCAACCGCCGCTGCGGGATTTGCCAACATTCCTGAGCGCGATCGGGCACCCAGAACGGAGCCGATTTATGTCTCAAACGCGCTGGGCACTTCTCGGCGCAGACTGCAACGTGTGCTCAAATATTAGCATCTTACCCTCTCTTCTTTAATTTGCAGACTACCGGGGAAATGCATAAGCGCGCCATGCCAAGAAAGCAGTTCGTGTTCGGGGTTAAGAGACCGAGCTTCGAATGCTATTGGTAAAAAATTGTCTTCAGCTCCGACGCCTGGTTCCAAAATATATCGAACAAGGTTGCGAGTACCGTGAAAGAGCGAGGAGAGGAAGGTTGAACGGGGAAAGCAGAAGATTCGTACAAGTAGGCGTACCACCATTTCTTCGACCGACAGTGGGTTGCGTGAGGTAGTCAGAGCTCTGCTGTGCGACCCTGTCAAATCGGTTGTGATAAAACAGCTTGTTCACAGTTTGCCACACCACGTAACAGAACGTAACAGAGTGGCGGGGAGTCACATGTCAAATCGCGACAATACTAAGTTATAAACTAGTGAAGTGAATATTTTAAATGCTACAGATAAATAATTCATCGAAATAATTCAAGTGAAGTGCCTCCCAGTGCAAAATAGTGTAGTGAATGGCATGCAGCTATGACCCTCCAACAAGCGAAGTCGTAAAGATTGCATCGCTTGTTCTTATCAATTGTGAGATCCAACCAGCAACAAGGAAAGTTTCATCTCAGCTAAACCAAATCAATACACCAAATACAAAATAGACGTGATGATGGAGAACTTCACCAATCAACACAACCCCCGGCACCGATGGCAAGGAACCGAGTCAACTCGGCCAACCCTCAACCATTCAGCAACCAGAAAAAGACTCCACAGACTCCAGTCAGTGACAGACAATGATATAGAGCGAGAACCGTCAAAAATGTAGCAATAATGATAGTTAAAATGGTCAAAATACAAAATCTGACTCTATTAATTAATGTGCTGGTCAAAAATATGTTCGGACCTCTAACAGCACTTGATAAGCAAGCAACTGAAAATAGATTCACGGACTTACGAAACTTATTCAGGTATCTAATTCATCGAAGTTTTCGTTCCTTCAAAAAGCCGTTGAATAAAAATATATCAGTAGTGTTCAAGATTGCTAACCAATCTACTACTGACCAAGAACTATATCAAGGCCTAAAACGTTTTCCTTCACTGATCAAAATCAGCAAACTTCACAAATAAAACAAACCTTTTCCAGTAGTTGCAGCTCTTTTCTCAGAACAAGGTCCAATAGACAATATTCTAGCCATTAAGCAAATTTGTAACCATGGAGTAAAAGCAGAAGAAAGGAAAACCCTTCAAGGTCCCTTACAATGCTAGCGGTGTCTGAATTATCGTCATGCAAAGAACAATCGCAACCATTCAATTAGCTGCGCTTTTTTCTTGGGTAATCACTACCTTGGCAACGTGTCCTAATCGTGATCAAAGAATCAAAAGGTCGAAACTGCATAGGCAGCCACATACTCAATAATCGAGACCCCAGCTGCCCTTGCCTAAAACAATACATTGTGAAAAGAAAAACTGTCAACCGAAACAACCCCCAAACTAGAAACCAAATATTTTCCCACCCAGTCACTCTACCACAAATAAATTCCCATTTCCATCTTCTTCCTCAAACACCTATTGTCAACAACTTCACTCATATTAGTAGCACCACATCCCAAGCCCACCCAAATCCCATCAAAAATTCAAATCCAACCAACCTACCCCAAAAATCACACCACACCTATCCCATTATACACCCAATAATTAATGCAATTACTTCCTAAATAACCAATGCCATCAATACACTTATACCTACTACAATCAACTCAATTCGAAATACATTCTCCACCTACATTACCGGCAATAATAGAAAAACCACACCCTAAAGACGTTTCTCTCGTCTATTAGAATTATAACTGCTTAACAAGTAAAAAACCGTATAATATAATTCACACCGTATAGATATAATTTTCATCACAAAAATCCACTTAAAGGACAAAATAAAATAAAATGTATATCCCAAACTACTCAATTTAAAGAGAGATTTATAGAAACCTAAACAACGGAGAACTGCTAATAATCATCAATAACAATATTCAACAATATCCAATCCTTCCTTTTACTGGTAATAATATATAGAATCTGCTGCTATTAACTTAGAGAAATTAATAATAATATACGGACTATAATTGCAGCATACTATCCACCAAATCATAAACTAGACCTCGATAACATTAATAAACTATTTCAACTAAATAACACCATACTTCTAGAGGACCTAAATCCAAAAATACCAACTAAGGTTGTTCGAACACCGACGCCTATGAGAAAATATTAGCCAAAATAATAAATCACACTGTTCTCAAAATAATCTCACCTCTAGGCTCAACATAATATCCCCATGATTGCTTAAGAAATCCAAATATCCTCGATTTCGTAATAACTAACACTAAACTAAAACTACACACTACTAGATTATTCGAACTCGATTCGGATCACATAACTGGACAGATACCACACGTCAGGTCTCACCGTTACCACAATAAAAATAAGTCTTGAGATATACCTACACCAATTCGACAGCTAGGCAGTCAAAAACAAAATAGAAAAGCAACCCATCAAAAACAGCAGCCAAAATATTATCCCTAAGACCTTGCATTCCCCCACCCCATAACAATTGAACAAGGAACCAGTACAATGTCATCCTCATAACAAACTCAAACAAAGTACCTAGACCTTTTCTTAGACACCGACGCATTTGAAAAAATCACATTGGCAATAAAGTATTACAAAAATGAAATTACACCAACTAAAACGTCAGAAATGGTCTTACGCACATAATAAAATAGGAATAATAATAATAATAATAATAATAATAATAACCGTAGGAAGTGACTTTTAAATATATATAAAATAAATTCTAAGAAATGGTATCCCAAAATATTAGTTAACCAGCAACTTGCTTTGTATAATGACAAATATTTTACTTTATTAGTAAAAATACTAATAAAGTAAAACATTTGTCATTATACAAAGCATAAAAATGCAATGCACACAAAATATAATAAAATAATACAAATCTATTGAAATTCTTCCAAATAATTTCTAAAACATTGAAGAAACTCAGCAATGTAGATTTGATTTCTTCAATTGTTGCAAATCGGCACAAGTGAAACAATGAAACATGGCGTATGGTAAATTTTCCAGTAGCTCATCTTTCTTTCAACCTTCCGAAACCTATAACACCCCTCAACAATATAGTATCTCTATGAACTTCCATTGATTAATCACGGATCAATACGTGAAATTTTCTGGTAATTGAAATTGAGCGTATTTAAACTACTCCATCCTATGCAGACCAGAAAAATTGTATTACTAGAACTAGTGATTACGCCATGTTATAGACAAAATCTTTTAGAGTAATGGAATTACAGTTATTTGTGATTTTCATAATTATATGTTTTTGCTAATTTTGAAATTTTAATATAGCATTTAATGGAAATACCCAAAATGGACGAAATATGTAAAATATTTTCATATATGTTGATGTGTGTTTTATGACATTTTCCCTTAAAAATCGTAGAATGTTCAAGAGCTCCTCGTGTTTTCAGTAATGAAATGTTTGATAGCATTCCAAATGTAATGTATTCTCTTTGATCTCTCTAATAGCCTGAAATATTTCCAAAGCTAAAATCATGTGGTGTATTAATTGATATATAATATTCATTTCAAAGTTATTGTTATTCTAGCACCAATTTCTGATGCATTTATTTGTATGTTGGTTTCACACGCACGTTTTTCTGCAAGTTTTAGTCAGATGACTCTCCCATTTATTAAAGAGAAGCTATGCCAATGTAGTATCGCGAATTAGAGTGTATGAATTTACAAAGAAGAGCATAACAGGAAGCGGGAAAAGCTGATAAAATATTAATTTCTATATGTCAGGCTTCGTAAAACTGAACAATACGGAACAGACGATTCTGGCATTTTATAAAATTCCGTACAATTTAGTTAACCTTTAGCTATAATAAGTAAACATTTCACCTGATTCAATTGATAAAAATACTGTTGACTTCGGTTATAGTGAACTTCTGGGGACTAATATTTTTGTTCACTATATCAGAGGTTCATTATATTCAATCATGTCAAAATTAAATAGAGTTTATCCACAATGATTGATGGTATTAATAGAGACATAAATCAAAATATATTAAAACATGGAACTGAAAATTTCAATGTCTTTATTTGACCTTAAATAATCAAAAAATTTCAATTGTTTGCTTGGAACATTCTTCATTAGTAATTTCTCTAGGTTATTCTCTAGGCTTCGGACTCTCTCTGCATTGTTCACTGTCTCGGGTCGTAATGCAGTCTTGACACCTTTCAATGCTTATTGCACTGTCGGAATCCCTCTCGTCGAAGGCTCTTTTACTCGCCTTGTAACATGCGAGATCCTTTCGGTAGCGGGATGGCGCAAGCGACTAATGAAACTGATCGCGTTTCCACGTGGCAAGTAGGGTATCGTCAGGCTGCGGGATTGTGGCAGTCGCGAGCTTCCTGACGCCTACATAGAACACAGCGCACTCTGTCCCGCGAAATATCAAGTAACATCAAGATTGAAAGTGAAGCAAACAATTGCGTGACTCCGTCACCGAGTCATAGCTCACGCAGGACACGGCGTTTGTTTCCACGGTGAAACAGACATGAGGTCATCAGTAAGGTCCCCATTTCGGGTCCGCCACCTTCATCTCAGGGAAAACTTTTTCGATAATGACCTTTGAGCGATATTTTTTTCAAGCTGCCTAATGTTGAAATTAGTGGCAATGAATTGATATATTATTTTCCAGGAAGGAATTAATATTGAGGTCGTGGTATTTCTTATAAAGGAGGTTCACTATAACCGAGGTTCAGGATCGCTATAACTGATTTTTTATGCTTATTTGCCATGTAAGTCAAACGGGATCAGTCACTTAAGTTCAATGTAACCGAGGGTTTACTATATCAGAGTTCACTATAAACGGAGTCGACTGTATATTACCTCCTAACATAATATTTTACATTTTGGAAATATAATATGTTCAAACATGTTTCTTTGGAATAAATAATGACTATTTTTCAGAGAAAAGTGCCTTCTCTTTCTTCCTTTTCTTGTGTTTGAGGGTAAAAAATACTTGAAACGTTTCAATATAGCTGAGTTTTAGTGTCAGAAAAGTATTTTGCCTTAATTTTATTTCGTTCATTTAACATTTGCTCTGATCACTCGGATAAATAGTATTTACATCATAGTATGGTCACCAACGAGAGTAATAATAACGTGAAAATTAAAGAGACCTTAACATTCCCTTGAACATGTGGAGGTCAATTGACATGATATACTACACTCAGATGTTCGCATGGCATATCTCGCGAGAAAAATGCTGTGTATTCCCAAGTTTGCATTGACAAGTCGTCCCCGAAATACAACAATCCTGCCTTCTGCGTGCTTTCGTGCGGACCTCGTGGAGAGAAGATGAAGGAAGCTGAGAGGTAAAGAGACCTCATTTGTCCATGCGTATCACAATAGAGGATAAACGCAGACTGATTCGCAAATCGTCAGAAAAAATACGAACTACGAAATAATCATATAAAAAAGATGAACTAAATACACTTAATACTAACAAATAAACATGAACACAGTAAATGCTTTAAATGTTTGTCGTTCTCAGAACCGATAGCACGTCTGTTAAGATATATGCTATAATTTCACTTGCGCTATTAATACATTTTCTTCTCGGTAGGCCTTCGAATATCGTTGAACATTTAATGCAGCAGTTAATCTTTGGTATTGACAGCAACTGTTGCCTACATAAACAGAGATTTGTCTCTTCAAAAGTTACATTTGTAAAATAACTTCGTCACAAAATGCGCAGAAAAGTTGTCAAAGTTCTTCGAAGGAGAAAAGCAAGCGACACGACCGTGGATGCGGAAGGCTTTCGTTTTTCTTCAAAAGTTTTTTGCTCAATGTTTAGACCGGTCGCTCAGAGGATTTTACAAGAAACTATTTTCCCAAGTAAGAATTAAGGATTTCAAAATTAATCCAATTCATGTCCGGGAACTTCAGAACAAATATAAATTTAAATGCTAAACAAATCAGCTAGAACGGCTTGGCAGAGATTCTTAACGTCCACCGTCACATTAATATCTTGAATTTGATGCTTAATTTGTTATGTTCTCGACGTAACCTTTAACTGTTTCTATGTTTAATGTAATCATGAGCGTTATAAAGCATTAAATTACATTTCGGCAAGAACGAAATCGGGTTGTTTACACATGACGCACGAGGTACTTTATTAGCTGTGTCGTTTTCTTGGGAACAGATAGAAGGGTTTTCCAGTCATCAAGATGTAAGCTTCCGATCAGTCAATAAAATGTTCTCTCCGTGAGGCGCTCTATCCTAGGTAGAGTATTGGTATTGTGGTGAGTTTTCGTTAGAATTTATAATGAAATAATTATATGAGTTGTCATTGCCAACAATATTGTTTATTACAATGGCAGCTTTCAATGTCTTAGCCAACACCAGGTAGTCGTTTTGTGACTTCCATACAGCAGAAAACTGATGATGATGATGATGGCTAAGCCATCGAAAGCTGCGATTGTAATAAACAATATTGTTGGCAATGACGATTCATAATTATTTCTAGGTAGCGCTTTCTTACCAGCGCTTTGGTCATTATATTGCAAAATTATTCATGACTAAATGTTCTGAAGGATTTAGCCTAGAAGAAGGTCACATATGACGACAGCAACGTTGATTACCCTACTTGGGGCGCGTCGTCTCCCGGGCATCCAACATGCAACCATCCGTGAAGACATGTGCCCATCGATTAAGATCGCGATCGCGATCATCGTTAGTTCGCCACAACTCTACCCACTCATTACAGAATTAAAATCGAGTGTATGTAAAACGCTTCATCCAATGTATATTAAAGCGCACACTACACTTCTTGGTTGTTGATGCTGCAACATGAAACGTCGCAATACTACATAACGGTTATTACCCCATGTTGTCTACGGTATGCCATCATGTTAGATAAGACGTACGCGATCATGTGTTATATTGCCGAATTAATGCTCGAAAATATCGTGTCAAGGTGAGTTACAATGTGGGCTCTTTGAAGTGTATGGCGTGTGGCGTATTGAAAGTGGAAAAAGCGTCATTGATAATATATACATGACTTATAAAGTATACAAATCTCTTGAAAAGTCCTAGGAGATACAGTTACAGTGCTTCGATCAAAATAAAAGAGACGTTGTAGGGTCTTTGTTTTGCTTAGAAGATGATGTTATTAGCGCACCAAAACCAAGCGACCCGTCCGTCACCAAAAGATGAAAAATGACTAAATGACATGTTAAGATTTTTGAATAAAATATTCACAAAACTCGTAAAACTTTAGTGAGGATGATAGAATGTTTTTACTTTCCTGTCTTACTACGTACGTATGTAGTAAAGAGTAAGAATTGTAATGCTGCGGTGAAAATCGGAGATTTTCTGACAGAAATGCTCGTATTGTCGGTTCCTAGTAACGAAAAACTGGATAAATCTTATACATATATGTAGTCAATTACGTCCTTGTAAACCGGCAAAGGTGACGCAGGAAGTCAACTGATGTCACTGCAATGCCTCTGACCGGGAGGTTCTGGGTTCGAGTCTCGACGGCGCCAGGATTTTCTACTGTTAGCTGTTAGGAGGAGAATTCTAACGGCCGGCTGATCTGATCGACAGTTTTCCGAGGTTTCATCGATCAATCTCAGGTAAATACCGGGGCAGTATTCTAACAACTGGGCCATGGAACGCGCGCAATCTTTCTTCCCCCTTCCTTCCTGTCCTTTCTTCACCACTTACCTACACACATTTATAGTTACATGTAATTCATTATCACACATGTCAGAAGACCAGTCGGGCACATTTGAGATCTCAGCGTGGGTGGTACCCCTCTAGTGAGAGATACATCATCGGGAAAAATCTCCTCAAGCCGACCTAATTCGGGGCCGGATATTTCCAACCAGCGGAGGAAGATCAAGACCACCTCCGTCGATGAAAAACATGCACTGCACCTACGGGACTAATTACCCTAGCAGTTCCCGTGCCCGGAATCACTTTCTCTTAACTCACGTTTTGAAGGTCCTTGATACCGAAAAATCGATTTACTCCAAAATGTCTGCCTGTCAGTCGGTGGTCAACAAATTGCTTCAACAATTGATATTCCTAAGTTGATCTGAACAATTTACAAATCCTGTGAGTTTTAAATGTAAATCTTGATTTTGAAGAGTACTTGATATAAGCCTTAAGCTTTTCAACATTTTCTCAAAAACAACACCAACGTTTTTATTAAACCCTTTTCTCGGACAATACATACAGTGCTTAAAATTGGCGCAAGTCTCAGCTTCGTTGAAATCTATGAATTTTTGAAAATTGCGAAAGTTCTACATTTTTATGGCGTCTTCCTTCCTCTACAATATTAAAGGTAAAAGTTTGATCCTTAGCGAAACCTATTGCTCAATGATAGATCTTGAAATACGAGTATCAGTATAATACTCGTAGAGTATCAGTGGTTCCAAACTAGAAGTAATTTTTTTGTAAACAATGGGCAATTTTTAAACAATTATATTACTAAAACCCCCATTTTTTATTTTATGTCGAACAGAGTAAAGTACGTTTCTAAAAGTGAAACAAGTCCCATTTACAATTACAAGTCCCAAACATTACGGCTATTGATGATAGAGCTTTTTTCCTTAATGAAGTCTGTTCTAAAAATAAAATATCTTGAAATAAGGTCGTGTACAATTTTTGGATAATACGAGTGTTTTTTTCCGCATTTTATGCTTAAAATAAAGGCAATTAAAACAATATTGTCAAAATTGCCCAAAATTCTTAATTTTTTTCTTGAATAGAGCTAATTCAAACCGTTTTCATTAAACTCTCTGAATTTTCAAAAATTCACACCTTATAGAAAATACGATAATGTGTGTGCAGTTGAAGAACCACAAGTTGAAGATTGTGAAACTCATGGTATAGTAACGTTCTTTAGCAAAGCACGTAATATCTGTTCTTTCTCGGATACTGGCTTGGTAGAGGATCGTAAAATGGGCCATAGGCGTTTCATCCAGTATATTTAATTCTTATGCATGTACATGGTTATTTTCAAGCGCGATAATATGTGAGACACATTTCATTTACAATATTTGAATATTTCGCGTACTTGAATATTTTAGAAATTATAAAAATATTTTTTAAGGTTTCTATTTTTGCCTTAGATGCCGGCAATTTAGAGTGTATTTAGAACAGTAATGGAAAAGTTTGGGAGATATCCTAGTTGTCAAATTGGTGAATAGAAAAATGCAATATTGTCATTTTACGTATACTTCATTGCTCGTGGCTTGTACATGTTTGTGACATGCATTTCACTACCGAGACTGAGGCTGCGTATCTCTGAATCGTTCCATGCAGAATCGATCCACAAGCAGATCCGCGGCGAGTTGTCTCGGGGCTCTCCCATTTAACGTATCTCTCATTCAACCAATGCTTCATCATAGATATTATATTAATCTGTCCATCCATTCAGGTGAATCGTTCCAGGAATGATCATAAGGGTTGAGCATTGGCATCACATTATTTAATAAAAACTGTATGAGTGATGAGAGATTACAGTAATGTTTTGGATAAGTTTGAAAACACAGTTGCACCAACATAATCAGCATTCGATAAATCAAGGTTGAATGATCATAACGTGAATTGGTGAAAAGGCGAAATGATTTTCTGCGTGTTTTATCCAAGAGACCATTCTAGAGAATATGCTCTTGTTGAAGGTTACAAACACATAACGAATGTTTAGTAGCACGAATAGATGTTAGGTATTATGATCATTCGCAGTGTTTATTGCTTGGCAAGCACTAATAAACCCTACGGCGTAAAAATGTACAGCAGGGGAAAAGGGAAGATAAAGCGAAAAGAAAAATATAGAGAAATGTTAAAAGAATGGAGAAGAGGGAAAGGTGCGAGGTAGAAAAGAGTGAAATGCGCGCGATAGAGAACACTGTAGAACACGAGAGGAAGAGAGCTGGAGTAGATACATGGAAATGAAGGAGTGAGGAACAAAGGGAAAAAGAGAGATATCGGGAAGAAAATTGAGGGAGAGAGGGAAAAGAGGAATATGGAAATAGGAAGAAATAAAAACACGGGGAAAGAGAGGGAAGGGCTGAGGAAGTCAGGAAGAGAAATGAAGAGGGAGGTACAGAGAGGGTGTGAGAGGGAGAGAGGCAGAGAGAGGAAAGAAAGGGGGAACGAGAGGCATGTGGTGCATAATAGAGGTCTGGGTCATAATCAAGGGAGGGAAGCCACTCGAGGCCAAGTTGCATGAACCCTCTCTGACGTCAAACGGCTTTGTCCGAGGAGCAGAGTTGATCAGTCACAAGGCTTGCTTCGAGGTTTGTCCAGCTAGGACGCGCTTGGTCGCCTGCTAATCCCAGTTGCGCTGCTCTCCCTTTGGAGCATGGACTGAGTTATGCATTAGCGTCCGGCTGCTTTGCGAAAGTCGCTACGTATTGGTGCAATGCCAACATCAAACTTTGAGGTAGCGCAGACAATCGACATCGGGGCAAAATACACGAGAAAGTTAACAGCAGAGGAGTGAATTATATCTGAAACTCATAAGCATAAACTACTGTGAATATGCGATAAAAAGATAACTTGAGGAATGATGCCCGAGTCACACAGAACCATGGGATGACTGGACGTAGAATTCACATATTGTTTTCTAGAATTACTTAGATTGTTGAAAATGAGAAAACTGAAGTAGCATTCTAACAATAGTAAACGGCTTTCATCGAGACATACAGTACGTTATTTTTTTATATACAATATGAAGGTACATCTCCATATTGAATGACAGTATGACAGTAGTCCATGACAGTATTTTTCCACAATTAACGAAACAATATCATCAATTATTAATGAATTGTAAAAGTTATTAATTACATATTATTATCAAGGGTGAGTTACAATGAATCACGTGAGTTATATATATGGAAATGCACAAATATAAATTATGATTGTTCGAAATTGTTGCCTCTCTACGCTAAGGAAAGATGACGGATAAGTACCATGTATGAGACACCACCCTCATAAATCCTGTGTGCTACTGCATGCATATCGAATTACCCCTCAGAGATGCATCAAACAGATTGAAGACGAAGTATTAAGAAGTTCGCAAACTATGATATAAAGAAAGAGTAATGACACATGCAACACAAGTTACGATGGAGCACATGCTACCATCGTGCATAACGCGGAAATCATGCGTCTTAGGGAATAAAAATATGGTTTCTCCAGTTGTATCTTATGCTGTTATCTACAAAATGAAACATTTCTAGACGTTGAATTACATTGTGGAGAACACTCTAACACCTTATAGCCATTGCATTTTTATTACACATGGAAGAAAAACAAACTTTTTAAATTTACTTATTTCTCAAGGATCGGAAATTATATTATTAATTTCCAATGAGCACAGCCGTTGAAAGAAAACTACGCTACCATTGGCTACGTCATAAATGTCAATGATTTTGTTTAGTATCCAGGAATTCTAGGAAAATTCAAATATAATGAAACAGTTTCGATTTTACCAAAATTCAAATATTTTTAATTGCGTGAGTGTTTTCATTCTGATACTGCGCGTATAGACTGAGTTATTGTTCTCAGTGAGCCATTGCTTACGACACGCTTACGTAGCTGTCTCACTGTTCAAAAACAACAAATAAAATACTCTCGTACAACATATACTGTTAACATATTGTTAACATATTAAATATTTTTTAAAAAATC